AAATGAAAATTTAAACTAGAGGATTAAGAACAGTGTGTCAACCAAGGATTTGACACTTTATAATGACCATTTTTTAAAATAATTAAAATAATTCCAAAGTTATAATGCTATGCAGTTATTAAGGACAAAGAAGAAAGGATAAATGTCATTTTAATTAAATCTGCAGATGGAAATAAATGGGGACGTTCTACTAGTAATTGTGTGACTGTGTCTTAACAGAGTCCAAAAGAGTTTCCTCTTTGGGAAGTGTGAGCTAATACACCCAGAGAGGAGTGATTGGGAACAGGGATATTTATACTCGATGGGAAATGCTGGGAAGCTGAGATTTTATATCAATACCCAGAGGCGAGATGTGGGCAGCTGATGATGTGCAGAAGAACATACAGATTTGAGACAGCTCCTGTTAATGGTGATGATGGATTTATCATATGTTAGAAGTCTAGGATAGCAGTCTAGGAAATAGATATATTTATTTTTATACATATTTATATATATTTTATTTTAATTTTATATACATATAAAATCAGCCTGCTTGTTCACCACTTCAGTCTGGGAATGGCTGATTAGTCATGGTCTGTACAGTAGCCTAGTCGACATAAACACAGGTCACACAAGACCCACCAGAGGAGAGGCAAAATCCAATTGTGTGTCTCAGCTCAGGTTTCGAGTTCCCCTTCCCCTTGAGGCAGGAGATAGGTGGGCTCCAGGCTAGACATTGACAACTGGCCTCCTATTCATACTTCCTGGGGTGAGAAGAAGATGGGCTCCAGCTGGATGTTCATTACCAGCCCCCTGTTTACATTTCCTGAAGCAAGAGACAAACGGGCTCCAGGACTACATATTTATGACTGGACTCCTGTCTACATTTCGAGATCTGCACCTCGATGTAGAAACCAGCAACAGAAATAGGGTAAATAACCGGACATTGGACATTTTTATGTCAGGGACAGAGTGGGACTAAACCCTGTTAACAGATCAAGAGGTCATACATTTCCCATCCTTGGGGCAAGGGAAACATTGCACACATGCTGAAAGGCTCCTTGGGGGTCAAAAAGGACCCATAATATGTGATGCTAAGGCCGTCCCATAGGCCTCCAGGCTGTAATCCATCTTGGAAAAAAGTTGCTCACGCATGTTGGGGAGGGTCCTAGGGCAGGGCAGGTGTGGAAAAAGAAACCAGATAATTGGCCAAAGGTAAACAAAGACCTGGAAGAACTGAGGTATATAGATGACTTAACCACCTCTTTACTGCTCTCCTCCTCATCAGGGAGGACGCCCACCCCTTTCTCTCCAGGTGTGCATCTCTGCCTCACTTTTGTCTTAACAGTGTCTCTGTGTGCTCTCCCACTCGCTGTTGTGCTGTGTCTTTAATAATAAACTTTGTACCTGTTTTTTTTTAACATCTTTATTGGAGTATAATTGCTTTACAATGGGGTGTTAGTTTCTGCTTTATAACAAAGTGAATCAGTTATATATATACACATATCCCCATATCTCTTCCCTCTAGCGTCCCCCTCCCTCCCACCCTCCCTATCCCACCCCTCTAGGTGGTCACAAAGCACCAAGCTGATCTCCCTGTGCTATGCAGCTGCTTCCCACTAGCTATCGATTTTACATTTGGTAGTGTATATATGTCCATGCCACTCTCTCACTTTGTCCCAGCTTACCCTTTCCCCCTCCCCGTGTCCTCAAGGCCCTTCTCTAGTAGGTCTGCGTCTTTATTCCCGTCTTGCCCCTAGGTTCTTCATGACCTTTTTTTTTTTTTTTAGATTCCATATATATATATATGTTAGCATACAGTATTTGTTTTTCTCTTTCTGACTTACTTCACTCTGTATGACAGACTCTAGGTCCATCCGCCTCACTACAAATAACTCAATTTCGTTTCCTTTTATGGCTGAGTAATATTCCATTGTATATATGTGCCACATCTTCTTTATCCATTCATCTGTTGATGGACACTTAGGTTGCTTCCATCTCCTGGCTATTGTAAATAGAGCTGCAATGAACATTTTGGTACATGACTCTTTTCTAATTATGGTTTTCTCAGGGTATATGCTCAATAGTGGGATTGCTGGGTTGTATGGTAGTTCTATTTGTAGTTTTTTAAGGAACCTCCATACTGTTCTCCATAGTGGCTGTATCAATTTACATTCCCACCTACAGTGCAAGAGGGTTCCCTTTTCTCCACACCCTCTCCAGCACTTATTGTTTGTAGATGTTTTGATGATGGCCATTCTGACCGGTGTGAGATGATACCTCATTGTAGTTTTGATTTGCATTTCTCTAATGATTAATGATGTTCAGCATTCTTTCATGTGTCTGTTGGCAGTCTGTATATCTTCTTTGGAGAAATGTCTATTTAGGTCGTCTGCCCAGTTTTGGATTGGGTTGTTTGTTTTTTTGATATTGAGCTGCATGTACCTGTTTTTACAGTTTTTGCCTCTATGAGAAATGCATTTTTCACTGGGGTCAAGAGCCAGGGGTGGTGGTGGCTGGGATTCCTGGTTTTCATCCAGGATATACAGGTTCAGTTCCTGGGCAGGGAATCAAGATCTGGCTTCACACCACCACTCACCGCTGCCTGTCCGAGATCACCCTCGTACACACCCGGTCAACTGCAGGAAGGGAGCTGTAACCTCAGCCACATCTCTGACTCCTGTCATGGCAGGCCAACCACAAAGATCCAATCTGTGCCTGAGTCCCTTGTAATTTAACTAGTCATAATGTACCTAAACACATTTAGAAGGCAGTCTATCTGTAGGGAAATAAACTTGCACCACCAGCTGTGCTTCGGGTAGAAAGCAAGGCTAGACTAGTGTTATTGTACCGAGTCTCTTGATTTTGTGCGGAAAGAATCCTAGCAGAGCAAACTGCTCTTTACCTCCCATCAACCTTCTGGGTTTGCTCAGCCGCCTAAGCACTGCAGGAACGGGTGGAAATTGCAGAGGAGAGGGAGAAAAGGATCCTAAGATAAAGCCTGGATCCTGGCTGTGTATTTATGTGTCTCTCAGCTACAGGCAATGGCCCTTACATCGACCGCTCTGGAGAGGCAGTGATGGTAACCTGAGGCCAGTGATTGGTAATCTAGGGGTTTAGGCAAGACACCGCCCCCACTCCCCCCTCCCCCTCCCTCCTTGCCCAGGGTAGGAGCCAAGCAGGAGTTGTTTCCTCTGACCCCTGCCGGGGAGATTCCCAGATTCCCGCTGTCTCCGGGTAACCTAACGTTGACCGTTCCTAACAGGGGTTATCTAGCATATTCTTATCTAGCAAATGGGGACGCCCCCATCCAACTCTCCTTTCGCCTGCCTACTTAACACTTTGCCTCGCCACCAACCTCTCACCTGGCCGCAGTGCACTTTCTGTCCTCACTCCTTGACCCTGTTTATGCAGTCGTCCTTTCTAGACTGGCCCTGGCGAAGCCTCTGGAGGGGAAGCCGTAGATCAGTTCCTCTCAAACTTGAGCGGGCATAATATTTATCCGGAGGGCTTGTTAAAACATTGTTGGCCCTCGCTCCCAGAGTTCCCGGTTTCCTAGCTCTTGGATAGAGCCTGATAATTTGCATTTTTAACAGGTTCTTAGGAGATGCCCCCAGTCCGGGACCACTTTGAGAACCACTGCCTTAGATAAAAGAAGGTGCCGGTGCCGCGGCGTGAGCTCCTCCATTTCTTTCCATCTCTTTCCCCGGTCCCTTTGCACTTACGCTATTTTCCCTTCTCCGTCATAGACTCTGGGTTTTGGACTCTGTTTCTAGCGGTTCCCCTCCTGTCGCCGGTTCCGAGCGTTGGTAGAGAAATTTCCTGCCCACACTCCCCAGTCCTGTGCAGCGTCGCCCCCCTCCCCCACCCGCCTTTACTGTTTTTCCACAGCAAACGCTGCCCGCTGCACTCTCCCTTCTCTTGGGTGTGAATTATTCACTCTCGTCCCTTACTCCTTGCATTAAGTGCAACCTTTTCCGCAACTTAGCAGTGGCTGGGCTCGCTGCTCTCCTGTGCGCTCCGCGGCCCTGGGAAGCATCCCTGTACTGCCGCCACGCTCCTCCGCGCGCCAGACCCAGCCTGGGGCGCCGGGGCCATTCCCGCTCCTGCTCTGCGCTCCCACCCTATCTGGCTCGAGCTCCAAGGTGTGGGCCAGGGCGGGTGCTGAAATCTCCTCTGTTGAGCTTCGGGCGCCGAAGCCCAGAGGGGGGCGGTAGCAGCGTCAGGTGGCTGTTCTGCGTCCCCGCGCGTCGCTCAGTCAGTCCCTGCTGCGCGCTCAGCCCGGACTGGAGCGGGAGATGATCAACACCTCCGCCCCGGCAGCTGCGTCCCCGGGAGCAGCCGGGACTCGGGACCTTGGCAGGAGAAACTGAGATGTGACCCCTCCGACTGCCCATTGCCCTCTTTGGCATCCTGCCTGCTTCTCCCACTTCCTCTCCCACTCCACGGCTCAACTGGACAGCGAGCGTTTGCCTCGATCTCCGGGGAGAGAGGAGCGGCCACCAGGCGCACAGCCGGGCAGAAGTTGGGCTCAGCTGGGCAGCGCTGATCCAGCTGCGCCGGAGGGGTAGGCTAGGAAGTGAGAGAGGAAGGCGAAGTAGAGGGTCTGGGAGATAGGGCTTTGAGTGGGCTTTTCCTGCTCCCCCGGCCCCGGGGTCGGGGCAGGGGGAGAAATGCTGAGCCCGCGCCTAGGTGATCGCCGCCGCGACAGCAGCCTCAGCAACAGCTTCAGCATCAGCACCGGCGGGACAGCGACAGCGGGGGCGGCGCAGGCGCATTGTGCCCCGCGGAGCCTGCAGTTCCCGAGCCCCGTGTGCGGCACCGCCACAGTCTGGGCAGCGGCGGCCGGGGGAGCGCTGCTACCATGAACTGCCTGGTCCTTCTCCCCAGAGCTGCTCATCCGGGTCGGGCTGGAGACTCAGTCAGGGGACCCCGTCGCCGCCGCCGCGCCCCCTCTTCTTTGGGCTCGATCTTCTCTTCCACCTTTTCCTCTTCTTTCTCCACCTTCTCTTCCTGCATTCCCCCCTCCCCCGCCGCGGATCCTGGCCGCTGCTCTCCAGACCCAGGATGCCGGGGGGCAAGAGAGGGCTGGTGGCACCGCAGAACACATTTTTGGAGAACATCGTCAGGCGCTCCAGCGGTAAGAAGAGTTGCAGTCAGAACACCCCTCCACCTCCATCCTGCCCACCCACGCCCCCCATCCTCCCCGTCCCATCCCTCTCCCAGGGCGGGAGGGGGACGCAGACCGCCCTACCTGGCGGCTGCAGTTACAAGATGGACCTGATTTTAGGTGGGAGTGGGAATGAGGTGGCAGAGGAAAGTTAGTTGCATCCCCTCCCCAAGACGTACTCTCCCCCCTCCCACCTGTCCAGAGCCCAGAACCGCAGGAAGCCAAGGGGGAGCAGCGGCTAGGGTGTAGGTACATCTGGAGAACAGAGTTGAGTTTCGCTTTGTTGAGGGATATCTTTTTTGTTCATCGTTTCCCCACATTTTTAAACAAGTAGGCTGAAGAGACTGATCAAATTCTTAGAGTTAATCTCAGTGGAAGGGTTCCCTCAAGTTGGGAATGGCTGTGAAAGTGGCTACTTAAGATTTAGTCTCTGGAATGGCTTTCAGGCCCAATGGGCACCGTTGAAAGGAGCCTTGTGTATGAGAGGGTAGCTGGAGTTGAACCTAAGAAAGAGAGTCAGTTCTGGAAAAATGGGAAGGCAATTATTATGGTCAAATTTGTGTTTAAAGTTTTTTTTGTTTTTCTGTTTTGCATTGGTCTGTATTGATCTATATGATATATTTGATTTGACTTAAACAGGAGAAATGTAGAAGGGAAGCAATAGCTACTGTGCTTTTAAAGTAACTGGAGAAAGAATTTTAAAAATGCCATTCTACCTTGCTACTGATGTTAGGGTTTTCTTGCCTTAAAGTGTCTTTGAATTGCCATCCATTTATGCATTCATTTCCTCTAAGATATCGGAATGGGGATGGTTATATATTTCACATTTTAGGACCTTATAAACTTTGCATTTTACTGAAATATACATTTTCTACTTGCTTTCAAATCTTTTATATAATTTTCAATTTTGTAAGATATGTAAAGATATCCTTTAAAGATATGTAAAATATCCTTTAAAGTTTTTTGTTTTTTTTCCTTCAGAGACCTGTTATTATATTTTGAGATCCTTTGCTTGGAGAATTATGAGAAAGACATTTCTGCATGTTGATTACAGTAGATTTTGGACCAAAGCAATGGAAATACTCTATGCAATTCCATAATCATTGTTCATTCATTCATTCATTCATTCAGTGAAACAATATTTATTTGGGTGCCTTATACAAGAGACACTCTGTGGGGTCCTTCGGATAAAAAAATGATTAAGACACTTCTGCTCTCAAAAAGCTCCCTCCTTAGTGGCAAGACAGAGGCACACTCAAATGATAATAAATAATTAAATACAATTATGCTCTTCCTGAATTGGTAGATTAGGTTATATTAATTCCTAGGATATGAGCTCTTCTAAAACTAGGCTTGTAAATATTTCCCCTGATTTGGGGACTATATGTAAGTGTCCCAAGGTATTTCTCATCAAGCTCTGACATGGTATTTGGTTTTCATTTGAGGCTTTTGACTTTATTTCTTCGCATTTGGTCAATGCCTGATACTATACAAGTCTTGAACAGACATTTTTGGGTTCAAAAAAAAATAGCTAATAGGCCTGATTTAGTGTAAAAAAAAACTATAATACTTTTAGCCATTCCAGTGTGATTTCAAATGTGTTTGATTTTTTATGATAATATAAAATATTAAAAAATATATACTATAAATATAAATAAATGGTAGCCAATTTCTATGTTTATACATTACTTTCTTATATTAATATTGTACAGAAACCTAGAGTACAAGGAGATACTACTGTTAAAACAACCAGGTTGGGAAATTTAAAGATTATTGGAATTAGCTATTTAAGGTATATCAGTCTGTTTTTCAGCTTTCTCATCCTCTTGGGTTATTTCAACTCCATGCAATTTGGTCTGTGAGAGGACTTCTCAGAGAAGGCCTTAAAGAATAAAATCTGGAGGCTGTCTATTGCTCTGCGTGGTAACCAGAAAGGAGATGAGAATTCCTTGGCTGAAGTTCACTCATATAGCATCTTTGGTTGAAACTTCTCATACAGACTGGAACTATGAGCCAGTTTGTAGAATATCTTTTATTTCTGATATACCATGAAATTAAGACTTACCTTATGTGGCTTAGAAAGAGCTGCTTCCGTTGCCTCCATTTTAAATCTACCATCCAAGTCAATGAAGGTTTTATCTGTTTTACACTTCATGTTATCATTGCTTCACTGGTTTAATGTTTCTTTCCATGGATAGCAGCAAGTACAAATGAAAATTTATCTGTTTTTGCATTTTAAGTACCACCTCTAATTGCTTATGTCTAACTTTTTTTTTTTTTTTTTGGCGGTACGTGGGCTTCTCACTGTTGTGCCTCTCCCATTGCGGAGCAACAGGCTCCGGACGCGCAGGCCCAGCGGCCATGGCTCACGGACCCAGCCGCTCCGTGGCATGTGGGATCTTCCTGGACCGGGGCACGAACCCGCGTCCCCTGCATCGGCAGGTGGACTCTCAAGCACTGTGCCACCAGGGAAGCCCTGGCTAACTTTTAATACCACTACTCAAAACCTCTGAGCTTTGTTTGAAATGTGTTAGATATTTGAGGAAAGTGTATGAGCATGTGTATGTAATCAATAATGGAAAGTCTCAGTGCCACTTGTACAGGAAGAACCTCAGAAATTGAGAATTACGGTACTAAATTTCTCTACACATTTATGTGTGAGTATCCCACACTTGTTGCCATTTCTATATGATTTGGCAGAGAAATAGAAAAATTCATTCTGAGAAATTGAGATTAACAGAAAATTCCCTTCAGGGTTCTCACAGATGGATTGAGTTTGTCACCGTGAAGATTTCATTATTCACTAACTTAACAACATTGAAAGTGAAGTATTGGCAGAGCTTTAGTGGAAAAGAAAAGAGGCAGCATTCCTAATACAGCTAAGACTTGAAGAAAGATGGGTTACTATTACCCCATGAAGTGCTTCTCTTTCTGATACAACATCATTTTCTTCTTATGAAAATATCAGATCTTTTAGTGAGAGTCGGAGTAGAAGCATATCTAGAGATACACACAGATAAACATACAGACAGGTATCTACCCAGACACAAAGGTAGATGCAGAGGAAGTAAACTCTGTCTCACACATAGAGCAAAAGAGAGATGTACAAAGTAGCAGAAATACAAGGAGAGAGGGAAGGAGAGAGAGGGAGGGAAGGAGTGTGGGAGAGAGAGGGAGGGGGAGAGATAGAGAGAAAGAGAGAGAGAGAGGGAGGAAAGGAGGGATACTAGATATGAAAGGGCAATGGACACCAAGAGAAAACGTCAAGCTTTTATTTGTCCACGGTGATCACTAATGAGCTGGAATCTCAGCAAATTAGAAATCTGTCAGAAAACTTATTGATGCAGAAGAAAAGAGCAAGAAGTGTGGTATATTTGGGTATAGCTTTTAAACATGAGGATATCCTAATAAAGTTCCAAACTCCTCAGTTGCAATTTCCCAGAATAACAGTGCTGTATTCTTTGCCTTAGAGTAGCACTGTAGCCTATTTGCTGTTATTTTACACCTCTTGAGATTGGCTTTTTATTTTCCTTGTTTAGTTGACACAGTCTGTTATGGGAAAACATTTCAAATTGTCACTGGTGATTCAAAGTCTATAAAATAAAATAATGAGGGCCATTGAGTAGGATGGATACAAACATACTTTATAGCCAAATCCCAAAATAGTAGAAGTAGGGAATTCCTCTCTTCAGTTTTAAGATAAAAGATAAGATCATTTTTAGACAAATAAAAGTAATTACAATCATTTTTAACATGTGATTCTAGTAGGTATAGAGTACACATTATTACTCCAAGAAATTGCAAAGGTCAAAAGCAAAAATGCAATAGCAAGGTTTAGATAACGTTTTTGGCTAGTAGAATCAAAATATGTTGCTAGGAAGGGAAAGTTTGGGAACCATGTGGTGGGTTCATTAACTGCGTGCAGTGTCTCATAGGAGGCCCCCGTCCAAAATGCCTACTGACCGAATCTGTGTCTGGAACATTATCAGGCCATCTTCCCTTATTTAAACCTTGCATAGTATTTATGCAAGCTATTCACCAATATATTTTGGGCCATAGGGAGCAGTACACTTATGGGTAGAGGGTAGGTACCTGAAAGAAAGCAACAGTTTTTTAAGACTTTTAGGTAGAATTTTAGATTAAAACAAAACAAAACAAAACATTTCCAAGGCCTTCAATCTGATTATTGCTTTGGGCAGTACATTTTATATATATGTTGTCTTTGATTCCTTAACAAATAGGCAGAAATGATTAGTTTGGGTGACAGTAAACCTGGTTGCCATCTCGAAAATTTTTAACTATAAAAATAATGTCTTTTAAATTAGAATTAACTGTTCTTTAATATTTTAAACATTATGAAAAACTAGAAATGTTTTTCTCTTTAGAGAAAAAAGGGGCCCAGGAAAGAAGAAAACAGAAAAGGCAGTATTTTATGAACCACTTACCCTTCAAGAGAAGAAGTTGAGTATACTCAGTTATCCATTTTGCCTGAAATACCTGCTTGCACAAGCACTTTCTTTACTCAGTGCTCTTACTTATAGGAAAATCCAAAATCATTTTTATGCTATAATTAATATTTGTAAAAACTAAGATCTTAAATGAGAACCTATAGGAGGGGCAATAAGGGAACTAGTGATTTAAAAACAAAACAAAAAAGAAATATTAACTCATAATTCTCATCCAATTAAAAAAATTGTGGAAAACAAATGGATTATTTTGGGGTTTTTTTGGTATCGAGTACTTGATATTTTTTCTTGAAAGATCTAAAATACTATTCAGGAAATGTTGATAAAACCACTTAGAGTTTTTGAAGCTTTGGTTTACCCAGGTTATAATGTATCACTTTTACCTTTAAAATATCGTAGAGATTGAAATTATACTGACCACTTCCTAAATTATATTTATAAGTAAAGCCAGAGGATTGCCCCTTGCTTCGGAGTCCACACTGCCTTGTATAACAAATGCAGTAC